CTAGTTCAACACCCTGCTCAGGCAGGAAACCCTACACCATTTGAGATTATAATATCCTAAAAGATGGAATGGGTAGTACCCGTAGATGAGAAGACTCGCTCTGATGCCTCCCATTTTTCATGGAGAAAAAAAAGGGCCTTTCCATCTTCAACAATCCCTTCTATTATTCTGGGACTTTTCCAACTCACCTGTTGTTTTTGTAGACTATGCAATAATATAGGTGGGTGTCAAACTCGATCGCCTCACCCGACATATCGTGACAGTTTTTGCCTTTGCGGAGCTGGGGTAGGTGTGGCCTGCACGTGACACACCCAGCCCAAGGGCCACCAGTTTGACACCCTTGCTTTAAACTATTTCACATAATATGCTTCTATGGCCCCAATAAGGATTACCTTTATTGGCTGTCATTTGACTACTGTGTTAATCATGGCCATTAAAACTTGGAACCTGCTGATCCAGAGGTCCCCAACCTTTTTGGCACTAGGGACCAGTTCCGTGGAGTTTTTTCTGCGGACTGGAGGGGGCGTAGTTTTGTGCTGCCTGCATCTCGCGGATGGGGCTTTGCTTGTTTATGCGGACCAGTTGCTAGCATGCTGCGGCCTGGTACCGGTCCACAGATCGGGGGTTGGGGACCCCTGTGCTAATCTTTCTTCTCTCCTTTCCATTTGTCTTTTCTGTTCCTCTTTTCTTCACTTACTAAAACCTTCCCTTCACTTAACGACAACTTTTCTTGAAAGTCTTTTATATCTTCCACAAACACAATTTTTAATGAGATCATTTTTAATGATCTGATAAAGATAACGTAAAGCTTCAATAAAATGAAATTAGAAGACCCCAGACCTTCAAGACTGCAACTTAATAGCTCACTGTATCTGACAGTGTACAATAAATAGTCCTGAAAGTTTGAGTAAATTTTTTAGCATAAGATACGTTTTCAAGGCAGAGCAATCTTATTTTTAAAGTTTTTCCAAGCTGATTTTTAATAAGTGTTTTTAACGGTTGTTTGTGTCAGAGATTACCCTGGATTGTATTCCTTTCAGAAAAGAAGGAGGAGAATAAAAGTTTGGACTAATGTAAACTCTTGTCAAGTTTCTGACTCATGATCAATTTCTGATGATTTCATGGACACATTCATAGTTTTGGTGTTAACAGCAATAGGAGAGTGATTTGCTATTGACTTTTTACAGCTTGCTTTTTGTTCTCTAACCTACAGTCCTAGGATTTTTTTAGTGGCATTAATCAGACCTCACCTAGTTGGCTTTTTAAGATCAGCAAAAGTTGGTTCAAGGCTATAATCTAATTCAATATATTTTGAATACTGTCAGCATCAAACCATCTGAATGTGCCTATCTTGAATTACTGTACCTGTTTGACTTTTTAAAAATTGGAACGATTTTAGAACAAATGGAAAATGGCTTTGGAAACAGTTATTGCGTTGACTTCACCACATCCCTGATTCACACTAATCAGAGTGCTTCTGTAAAAAGAACGTGGGAACTGCTGACTCCTGGACCACTCCAAATAGATGTCTTGATGTTTCCCTTCAAATCCTGATCAGGTTCAACCTGGCTTAGTTTTCTGAATTTTGTACAGGAAGTATCCTTCTACAGCAGTCCCAGGAATCAATTTAGCATACCTATATTTGTATGCCTATTAAAGCAGGGGTCCCCAACCTCCGGTCCATGGACCGGTTCCAGGCCAAGGCATGCCAGCAACTGATCCACACAAACGAAACCCCATCCGTCGGATGCAGGCAGCATACAAAACCACGCATTCTCCGGTCCGTGGAAAAACCTCTCTCCACAAAAGTGGTCCCTGGTGCCCAAAAGGTTGAGGACCTCTGTATTAAAGGTTATATTTGGCACTGCAGAAGCTAAATGTTCAGAGGTTTACTACATCTGAAATTTGATGGTTTGCAGATGTGGAGAAATCCAATTGTATGCAGGTATGAAGAATTAGTTTAAGTGTTACAAATCTGCAGTAATTCAGAAGGCCCAACTCAGGACTATAAGCATTTCTAAATAAAATAGAAAGCAGTAAGAATATGGCAGTCTGTAGGAACTGGGAAGACCTAGTAGATCTTCTGCCCGCTGGCCAGCCTCACTCAAGGCATTTCCATCATCACGCATGTTCTCTCTGTCTTTTGGGCTACACTAATATTATTCAATAGAATTGATGGCTTCCAATATTTTTATCCTTCAAGAAAAGTAACTGCAGGAAGCTGTAACTTTAAGCAAAAGGATCGCGGGGGTGGGATGGGTAGTTGTTCAGCATCACAATCCTTTCATTAGACCATTTCCTTTCTCAGGATGGGACAAAACCAGCCGGATCACCTGGCCTCGTGTGAGCACAGACTATTCTGAGCATGTCAAAGTGTTGCTTAGCATGTATCACCATCTGGTCTCACCTCCCCCTCGCCAGTATTTTTATTGCCATATCTGCAAGAATCTTCTAGAAAAAAACCCAACTTTTTTCTAACCAATCTGTCAGACTACAGATAAGAAATAGCAATTATTTCCTGGCTTCAGAAGTCACAGACTGTTCTCAGAGAAGATCTATTAAAGCAACTGATATCTTAAACTTCTTGACCAAAGGGAATTTGCTCACAAATGAATTTATTTAAGTGAAAGATGCCCTCACATCATGGTTGATTCCTACTTGTCTCAGATTTTCCAGTTTAGGCCATGGATTCTCTGATCTGGTGATTTCCTTTTTAAATACTAACCAGGTTCAATCCTACTTAGCTTCAAAGCTATCACAAGCTGAAACTTGCTTATGTATTTGGAACTAAATTCTACTGCTTTCAATGGTCAACAGGGAGAACCATAATGAACCACACATAATAAACTGCAAATATAGAGCATAACTACAACTTGCATCAAATTGCACAGTTTTAAATTACCATGGGGAAAATATCCCTGTGTGCTTAATTTTGAGTTTTTAAACATGGTGCATATGTTCCTTGACGAAAGATCTATTTAACATAATGCAGCTTACTTTTCTTAGGGAAATAATAGGATATCTTAGCAATCATACCTTCTCACCCTCCTATTGTATTAATGAATACTCTGGCAAACTTTTCTTATTCCAACATAACATGAATTTCAATTTATAATTCAAAACAATCAGCTAATTGGCAATGGTCCCAAACCTATTTTATACAAATGTAATTACTTTCTAAATATGATAGACTCTTCTAAACTGTCCACATATTGAAGATTTCCATGTTTACATCTTTTGCAAGATTTACAGCTTCAACTGTTTTTTTCAATGTATCTTCAGAAATGTACGTCTGGGATAGGGCTGTATCTTGAATGCAGTAACAAATGCAAGTTCAAGAGGTAATTCCCCAGTCCTAGCTAGTTCCCTAGTCAAAAATCTACTATTTAAAATGAAATGTAGTGTAATTCGTGGTACCCAAGAAATCACTTTTGAATGATCACTTTGAATGAAGTTTCAAGGGCAAAGAATATAGGATGCTCAAATTAACATCAAATTGTTAAATTGGAACCAGTACCACCCTCACCACTGACTGTATGCAGTTATAATACCCCTTCCCCCAAACTCTGTTCCATGCCATTTCATGTGGAATTTGTTTCACAAAATCTTATGGGGTAAGAGCCTAAATGTATGGCCTCTCTAGCAGCCCCTCCTTCGGAATAGCAGATGAGACATGTTATCCTGCAGAAGAAGTTTTTTTTACAGCTGAAAACTTGATTGTTCTCTCTGACCTCTAAAGCAGAGGTCCCCAACCTTTTGGGCACCAGGGACCAGTTCTGTGGAGAAAAGTTTTTCTGCAGACTGGAGGGTGCGTGATTTTGTATGCTGCCTGCATCCCATGGATGGGGCTTTGCTTGTTTGTGTGGCCCGGTTGCTGGCATGCCATGGACCAGTACTGGTCCACGGACCGGAGGTTGGGGACCCCTGCTTTAATAGTCTAATGATTGGCACCCACTTTCCTCCCTCTCCATATTTTAAGTTTGTGTAGGAGCTTCTAGCCCAATTTCTCCACTATCAACATCACCAACCTGCCAGCCACCTGTTCCCTCACACGCCAAGATTATGTCTCTATTAACATTTGCACCCTGCCCCAATCCTTACGTCTCTGGTCTGCTCAGGAAATAACAAAATAAAGACAAATATAATAATTTCTTTTTTTAGCATAGGTAGGGCAGGAATCAAGCACCACTAGGGAAAACCACAGGGACTAGCAACTCTCTGCTACTAAGCAGAGAGCATAAAGGCGGTTTCTTTACAACAAGCAAGGTACAACCAAGGTACAATTCTCTTCCCTCTCTAACGGTTCCGGACTCCTTTGGGTGTGCATGAGACCTCGGCGGCCATGCAGATAACTTTTCCGACATTTTACCAACTCGTGACAGCGAAGCTGCGTTTGAGTGCTGAGAAGTTTCCAAAAGGGTCCTGCACGTCTGAAGCCTACCGCTATCGGGGCACCTTCGCTATAGGCCGCGCTTTTCCAGGCTCCCACCGAGGCGCTTCTTATGCCCACCGGCGCTTCCGAAAGAGGATTTAACCGGCATCGCCCCTCCCTCCTTGTCCCCAAAGTGCAGTTCTGGGGAGCCCCGCGTCCGACTCTCAGAGGGAAGGCGGAGGTTAGTTGCATCTCCGGCGGCGCCCGATTCGAATCCTGAGTCGGCTACAGACACGCGCGCGCGCGTTCACAAATACATTCAGGTCGGATTTGCAAGCGGACTGGAACCCACCCCAGCCGCGCAATCTCCGTCTTTCAGTTCAGAGAAAATACAGCCTCGCGATTTCCAATTGGGGTCCAGAAACCCTCTCCCAATTAAAAAAACACCCTGGACCCCGGGCCTTATCCTCCCCGCCCAATGGCTCCGTCCCCCGCCAAGGGTTTGGAGAAAGGTGCCCCAGAGGGTTTTTGGCCGCCGATTCAGCCTCCTACCCGTTTCCCCGCTCTGGATCTCCGCCTCCCTCCCGTCTCCATCCCGCAATACAGGCTACTTTTTACAGCCTCGGACCTTCGGTTGAGCAGGTGCTCCGTCCGACCAAAGTGGAGTGAGAGAAGCGGCGGCCACCAAAAGCGAGGCAAAGAAGCCGGTCTTTCCGCACCGCTGGAAAAGCGGGAAGCGCGCGGCGGTGGCGGCGGTCGCCGGCTAGTGCCGCTGCTCCAACGCGGGGGGGGTTTTATCCCTCGCCTTCCTCGGGGCGGGAGCAGGGAGTCGCTGCCAGGGAAGACGGCGACGGTCCCAAAGGAGGCTCCGCGAGACGGACGGACGGACGGAAGGAAGGAAGGAAGGAAGGAGATAAATGAGGGAGGGAGGGAGGAAGGATAAATGAGGGAGGGGGAGATAGAGAAGGAAGGAAGGGAGGAAGGTGATAAATGAGAGAGGAAGGAAGGAGATAGGGAAGGAAGGAAGGAGATAAATGAGGGAGGGAGGAGATAGAGAAGGAAGGCAGGAAGGAAGAAGAGAAGGAAGGAAGAAGATAGAGAAGAAGGAAGGAGATAGAGAAGGAAGGAAAGAAAGAAGGAAATGAGGAAGGATGGAAAGAAGGAGATAAATGAGGGAGGAAGGGAGGTGATAGAGGAGAGAAGGAGGGAGGAAGGAGATAAATCAGGGTGGGAAGGAAGGAAGGAAGGAAGGAAGGAAGGAAGGAAGGAAGGAAGGAAGGAAGGAAGGAAGGAAGGAAGGAAGGAAGTGCCCTCCCTGGATTCAAGGCATCCGGAGGAAAGAACTGCTGGTCACCTCAGTTTCCTCCATCTCCTGAGAACTGCTGGCCCAACTACAGATCCAGGCATGACCCCAGCCAGGAGCCAGAGCACCCATCAGTCTGGGACTCCTCTGGCCTACAAGAAGGAGGGAAAGGAAGAGTAACAAGGCTGAAGTTGATGAGGAGGGAGCCTCATCTTGGCCTCATTTCACAGTGGGCTTCTGGGAAAAGTTCTGCGGGGGGGGGGGAGGTTCTTCTCCCCAAAGTATGTTTGGGTCTTCTCTTCCCAAAAACAATCAGATCCAATTTTAGTTCCGCATCTGGGCAGAAAAAGTCCTTTGCAAAACCCACATAATCCCTTTGATCTCATCTGTTATTGTTTATTACTTCTTTTCCCACAATTTTATATTCCATTCAGTTAGTTGACTGGCAGTGCCTTACAAAAATGCTCTAATACAGTTTGCTTTCTCTCAAAAGTTTTCCTCCCCTTCAAAAATGCTTGAAACACTGCAGAGAAGCTCCTAATTAATCTTCCTATTCCCTATTCTAGCCAATTAACGGCTTTGGGTCTTATTAAGCTAATTGCTCATGTAAAATTTCCTGCAAAACAAGTTGCCCCCAAAGTGGCATCTCAGGGTTATAATGCACCAAAAATTAAAATTAGTTCTGCACCTGACCTGCTATTTTCTTTTATAAACATTCTTTTTGAATGGCAGCTCACAGGATGAAACTTCTCTAAGTAGGCGTGTGGGTAGATTTGGCAAAGGAACTATTTGCTAAAAAAACGGACTTATTTAATAAGTAAAAACTAGTCCAACAGATGTGGCTGTAGATCTCCAAATTGCAAGCAGTTCCTTTTGGACCTCCTAAGGACTTCAAAGAGAGGAGGGTGATTTTTAAACCTGATTGCATTTTTGCAATTTTAAACTTACCGTAAATGCCGGCGTATAAGACGACTTCTGCGAGCGCTGAAATCGGCGCCAAAGACGGGGGTCGTCTTATACGCCGAGTCGTCTTATACGCCGGAAATACTGGTAGTTTCCGGCGTATAAGACGACGTTCTAGGAATGCGGCCCGGCTATAAAGATGGGGGTCGTCTTATACGCCGGGTCGCCTTGTACGCCGGCATTTACGGTACTTTGCACATACAGGTAGTCCTCGACTTATGACCCCACAATTAAGCCCAATTTTTTTGTTGCTAAGCGAGATAGTTAAGTGAGTTTTGCCCCGTTTTACAACCTTTCTTGCCACAGTTTTTAAGTGAATCACTGCAATTGTTAAGTTAGTAACACGGTGGTTAAGTGAATCTGGCTTCCCCATTGAGTTTGCTTGTCAGAAGATGTCAAAAGAGAATCACATGACCCTGGGACACTGCAACCGTCATAAATATATGCCAGTTGCCAAACATTCAAATTTTGATCACATGACCATGGGAATGCTGCGTCAGTTATAAGTGTGAAAAACTGTCATAAGTTACTTTTTTCAGTGCCAATATACCATATATGCTGGCATACAAGGCGACCCGGCGTATAAGATGACCCCCGTCTTTGTCGCCGGGCCGCATTCCTAGAACGTTGTCTTATATGCCGGAAACTACCAGTATTTCCGGCGTATAAGACGACTCGGCGTATAAGACGACCCCCGTCTTTGGCGTGGATTTTAGCGCTTGCGGAAGTCGCCTTATACGCCGGCACATACGGTAACTTTTGTCACTAAATGAATGATTGTAAGTCAAGGACTACCTGTAATGTTCATGGCCTGGAAACAGCATACTCACATTACATAGTGCATGATCCTATACCTTATTATATTGGACTTTTTCCAAAATTGGTCATCTATTATTTCAGCTATGTTTTTTATAGCACTGAGCAATTAATTATGGGAAAATTCATCCCATGGTGAAACTGCCTATAACTTTGATCTGGGACTGCAGGCCCGCTTCCATCTTATGATGGAAAGAGAATCAGGAGGAAATGGCTCTTAAGTCACCTTTTAGGATACAGCTGTGGTGGCACAGTGGTTAGAATGCAGTATTGCAGGCTAATTCTGCCGAATGCCAGCAGTTCAATTCCCACCGGCTCAAGGTTGACCCATCCTTCCATCCTTCTGAGGTTGGTAAAATGAGGACTCAGATTGTTGGGTGCAATACGCTGACTCTGTAAAGCACTGTGAAGCCGTATATACTGTAAGTCTAAATGCTCTTGATGCTGGGAACCTCTTTCTCTACTACCTGTCGATGAACATCTTCAAGACTTCTACACTTCCCTTTCATGCTTCATTAATCTTAACTGGATATGGACTGGATTTCTTCAAATGGATGCCTGTCCTCTGGCAGCCCTTTACATTGAGGACTGTCCTCTAAAAATAGAACATGTGGCCATCCTATTCCTTACCTCTGGACTCTTTCAGTACAGTGTGTCTAGAGAGGCAATGGCAGTCATGCTGCTTCCCTGCGATGGATTAAATATATCATCAGCAAGCAGCCTCCTTCTTTGTGGTTTCAACTCATAAACCACTGGGTGTTTCCCCCTCCTATTAAACATTTTGATGGCTATCACTAGCTATCACCAGGATTTAGGCCAGAGTTATTAATTATCTAGAAGTTCCTATTAGCTATTAAGTAGCTACTACCTAGTGATAGGGAGAGGGGATTTGCTGAAGATTTTAACACCAATGTCCTCTTCAGGGACCTTGGATTCCAGCCTTCTTGGTGATTGCCCCCTTCCTATGGAACAGCTTACCCCCAGGTATCCAGATGAAATACCCCTTACCATATTTTTAGACAATTATAAAGACATGACTCTTAGAGAAGCTGCCTTATTTTTATGAGGTAAGCAGAGAAATAGAAGGCTGTGCTGTGCCTCTGTGGTGGCTACATTCAAGAATAACCACCCTTTAGAATTTGGACCAGCCTCTCTATGGTAATCTTCCAGGAATGTTAAAAGATTAAACTCTCTTAAAGGGTCATCAGGGAATGACTATTTGTGTCTTTTCTCTTGTGTTATTTATTAGCTATGATGTTCCTGTCATGGTCTGCATTGTATTCCTTTGATTTATTGTGTCACTTGATACTGTATTTAAGTATGCTGTTGTAAGCTGCCATGACTCTAGAAGACTTGGCGGCACACAGGTTTGATAAGGATCAAATAAATATTCTGTAATATTGGTGTCTAAGAAAAATAGAGCTTGCAGGCAGTGCTACACAGCAGCTAGAAACTCCCCTTTGTTGCAAGTCAAGCAGATTAAAAAAGATACAAAGATCTGTGTTTGTTTTTTCATTGGTCATCTAAAGAATCGAATTGTGTAGTTTGATATCAATCAGGTTACATGAAGTATAGTGAATCCCAAAGAATAATTAAATGTCAAAAATTAACTTCTTCACAAACATAAGGTTGAGGAGGAGTATTCTCATATAGGACGGATCGACTGAAACTTGCTTACTTGTTACACGTATAGGATGACAAATAAAATCAATCTAAGATTCAGAGTGCTGTGACTGAAATAAACTGCCCGCTTAAGGATGATTTCCTGCAACAAGATAATGGAGAGGATGAAAGTAGAAGGAAAAGAAATAGATGAGCTATGCTGTAAACTTAATTCTGAAGATTGGCACAAACAGTTCTAAAATAATAAAGAAAAGGGAAAGTATGTCACGGAAGCTAAAAACCTTCAGCAAAAAACCCAAAGCCCTAAGACTGGGGCAAAAATAAAAATCCATATCAAAATCAAATCATTTCAGTCCCTGCTGGTATATGAAAATGAAATATCTAACAAATTGGGTTGCTTCAGAGGGTGGAGGCAATATATGTGGACAGGGGAGAAGCTGAAAAGAGGGAGAGATCCATAATTTTTTAGTCTAAATTGATTTTATAAGTTCAGTTTCCAACCTCTGCTTGTCCTAATAATCCCCCATAAAAACTGCCTTCACACACTTGATCCACAAGTCCTGGTTTTCTTTGTTCACATGGGGGAGGATGGTGTGCTTATTCATTATTTTCGAGTTATTTTTTTCTAATTTCAGTAACACTAAAGGTGCTTGGCAGTGTTGCCACATAAACTATCAAATCTCCAGGCTTCAAACAAGCATATGGAACATATAGGATAGTTTAGTGATTAGGGCAGTGGTTTTCAACCTGTGGGTCGGGACCCCATTTGGGGTCGAATGACCATTTCATGGGGGGGTCGCCAAACAAGGCTGTCCGCCATTTCCCCCCCCCCTTTTCTTTGGCCACGCCCCTGGCACCCGGTGATGTATAAGTGGTTGGGGGTCACTACAACATGGGGAACTGTATTATGGGGTTGTGGCATTAGAAAGGTTGAGAACCACTGGATTAGGGGATGGAAGCTAAAATATACAAAGAATAATTGGAGGAGGTGGGTATGTCTACTCTAATGAAGAGAAGGACTAGGGGTGAC